ATAGGAAGGATCCTGGCATTTATACACAGATGATAAGCCTAAATAAATGAGTATGATCTTTTTCTCCCTATCTATTACCTGATATTCTTGCCCTGTTTATATGTGTTGTTAAAACTTAAAGAAACTGCCAGTTTCCCTCCAACTAACCTATACAAATAGACAGGAGATTTCAGAAACGAAACGCCCTCGGGCCCCATTAAGTGTTTTAAAAACCATACACACTTATTTCAGAGAATAATAGTGGGTTGCTAAAAAATAACAACACAAACTCTAAAACACACTGTGCCTCCGGCCCTGGTCCACTGAGCTCCGTTGGTTGAAGCGTGGTCCCGTACACCAGAGGGTTATCAGTTTGGTTCCTGGTCAACACACATACTTAGGTTATGGATTGGATCCTTGTTGGGGTGCATATGGGGGAGGTCTCTCTCTCATTCTTTCTCTCTCTTATTCTATAAACATATCCTTGGGTGAAGATTAAAAAACAACACACTGCTTATTTGCATGGAGACCAAGAAGGAAACTGAGACCTGAGGTGAAGGGCAGTCTTTGAGGTCGGGCATCGGAATGTGCTGCCTTCCTCATCGGAACGGATGACGCCTGCACGTGGAGCCCACAGCCAAACCACAGCATACAATTCGGAGCTCCACATACACTGCAGATTTAACGTCTTTTAGCTTTTACTATAATACTTGGTCTGTGGCTTTAAGATTTTTTAAGCTTCCTCTTCCAAACGTGGGTAAAATCAGAGGATTTACATTCCGTTACTTCCAACTTATAGATCTTTCTGGGGAAGGAGTGAAAAGTGCTAACCTCAGGGAAATTTTACCAGGTGGTTCCCCCACCACTTTTTTCTGTCCCTTATGCTAAACATCTGTCCTCACACATTGAGGGAATGGTCTCCAGGCCTGCAGGGTATCAGTCCTCGTGCTCTTTGTAATGCAATGATGAGAATAATCATCAGAGGGCGGAATCTCAGATGATGTCTACTGTCCCAGTTTTCTTCCTCGCCCGTGTCTAGCATAGATGGAGGGGCAGTTTAAGAAGGCTCTGGTGTTTGGCTGTGTGAACATGAACCTGGACATCAGAGCCAACAGCCAACGCCCAGGAAGTGCTAGTTCCGAGGGACATGATTCTCTGCCTCAAAGATAACAAAGTAAAACGGGTCATCTTCAATGTTCAAGTATGGCAGATGCTGTGCAAGGATTGCCCTTCCTGGAAAAATGGCAATGACGTTAATATGGTAAAGGCTTGAGGGGTCTTCGTGCAGAGAAACACGAGGGTCTCCCACACAAGCAGAACCACGGCCCCCTTGTGCGTGGTGTGCTGGCTAGACGCTACTATTCTCTCCAGCTCCACTCGGGTTTGCTACTACAGGGCAATACGAACCAGGAACGGAATCAGTGCTCCATGGGCCTTTGGGCAGGACCGGTATTAAACATCCTCTGGGCCACGACCGAATCTTCAGCATCAATGACTTTATGTTACGGACCTGACCTTGTGATGCACAGATACGCAGTGAATCCTCTCCAAACACCGCACCTCTAACCTTGGCCCATGACCATCTTATAAACGCGTTCTTTGGTCCAAGTGGGAGAGTGAGGTGGGAAGAGGAACAGATTCAATCAGTAAAAACTCCTGCTGTTACTACAATAGGTCAGTAGATGTAATGTTTGGCACAGCCTAGTGAGCAGAGTCAGTGGTTTCTGAATGACCCTGTATGGTGGCTGTGGGTATAGACTACATGGTGATCACTTTGTAAGCTATATAAATGTGGAATCACTAAGCTGCACACCGGAAATTAATATATTATTGTACGTCAACTATCATTTAAAATAAGCTTACATAAAGTTGTTGTTATAAATAAATAATAACCTTTGAAAGCCTCTATCCCTTCTCTCCTGACTCAGATCCCATATGTCTATCATGCCTATAAAAATGTTGCTATTTCCCAAACTCTATTGTAGTAAAATGTGGTAAAGGAGACATAAATTAAATAACCACAAATTTAAATGGCGCTGGCAAGCTGGGGTGAGGTTTATAAGTGAAGACAGGGCGACCAGCCATTGCTGGGCCTGGGGAGGGGTGATCCTTGGGAGGGTTGTGGGTAGTGGGTGAATGTCAGCGATGTTTTTCCCCTGAAGAATTATATTTAAATGGAGATCAGAAGCGATAGTTGCTTTTATTATCTTAGTAACCACTTGAGAGTGAGACAAAAGTCTAGATGAAACTTGCTGAAAACTGCGTTTCTCTCATACGCCCTGCATGAGTTATTTTTAACCAGGTAATCAATAATGCGTTAGTGGATGCAACTATGAGCTCCACACCAAGGGAGATCCTGAAGGTGAATAAGACTTGGTCTCTGAGCCAAGGAATCTGCAAATTACTGAAGCTGCTAAAAGGGACAGACACAGACGTGTGTCCCTGTTCCCGGACACACTGGGGGGTAAATCCTGAGAGAAAATACAGCACCTCCTCCTTTTACAAAAATTGACTGCACTGACATGAAACGAATACTGGAATTCCTGAGACAAAAATGAAATCACATAGGAACCATTAAAATGCTATGTGCATAGTATTGTTTCAACATTGATAAAGAAAGCAAGAAAAGAAATCCTGAAGATGCTTCACTGGATTTCATACGCAGCCTGCTTGGCCCAGACGGTTGCTCAGCTTCTCCCCCATGATGGACCACTGCTGTCTGGGGGGTGTGCTGAGCTGACTGCCCCTTTCACAGGCTTCCTGAGGGCCAGCTCACCCATGCACCGTTCCCCCAGTGGCGCAGGTTGACTTCTTCTCGGGGACACTTCATGGTATTCCATTAAAACCCTGAATAGACTTTCCCTATCTATGGAAAAGGAGGAGCTCAGGACCGAGATCCCTGCCTAAGTTTTGAACTTTGCTGAATCAGGATGGACTCTCCTTAGAGAATGGTTGTCCATACTTTTCTTCATATTTCCTCTGGTATTTTACATGGAAGGGTTTTCAAGACTCTAAATGACTGTCTTTTGTTTTGTTTTTCTCAATGATGACCAAGGCAATGACACGATCTCTATTCTTTATTCTGCTTTCATTTCATTCTTAAAATTCTGACTGGATGAAATCAACCTTGAGTCTTCTATTTCTTAGTTCAGAAAAATGTAGAGAGAAAAGCATCAGTGTGTTTGTTGGCAAACGGGTCAAGTGAGTAGTGGGTTTCAGAAAAGGTTTGTAGGGGGAGTCAAGGATGAAATGGAGGTCATTCATCAGAGTCAGCTTATGTGATCTTGGACCTCGGGACCCTGTCCCCAGCTGGGCAGGGTCCTAGGGACAACACATCGCAGTGGTTTTCTAGGGCTGCCCTGAAGGAGCCTGTAAACTCAAAAATGTCATCATCTGTCTTTGTGTTTTGGGTGGAATGCTTTTCATTAGAAGGTCCAGTCTTTCAGAACCTACTTAAGGTTTTGGATAGAAATTTGTATTGTATTTGTAGTTCACCGCTGTGGAGCTTTTCCCGGTCACTGTCACATGTTGACTTACTTCACTAGAGACTGAATGATGGCAGACAGTGTGGGCTCCTCCTGAACACGTGATTCCTCTTATTTCAGTGGGTTTGCTCTTTGAAAGCTACACTGTTTTCCAGCCCAGCGCTGCCTGGTTAGCCATTAATTTTTCACACAGGAAATTCTCTAGAAAATGTGCCTCCTCCTTCTCATTTGAACAAGTCTCCAAATCTATCCGCATCGTGACTGGTAGATGATAAAATACGTTTTGTTTGTTCTAATTTCAAATAGAGGACTTCACTCAGTAACTTAACTAATGGCTCCTTATGACAGTGTCTAAATGAGAGGATGACTCGCATGCTTAAATATTATCCATCTATTTCTGCAAAAAATGTATACACGCTTTGAATAATTGTCAATTCCAATGGGTTAAATCTGAAAAGGATCGAGCTGTCAGCTTTTAGAAGTGTATACATTAGGGGGGACATCAGATATTACATATACATATATTATATATATGTAATCTGATGTAAGCACACTGTGATGCAAAGGTATTACTGCTACCAGGAGGCTGATTCTTGACTAGACAGCAATATCCCAGCTCCTTTTTTTCTCTATTCCAGTCTAAAAAAAAACAAAAACAAAAAACCTATTGAAAGAGCAGAAATAAGGCAGCTCAAACAAACTAAAAATCAAGACATGAAGCAAATGTCAGGCAGCAGCAGACTCCCCAGTCATTGATAGATCTGTTGGAATTCAGCTGCAGGAGACTGAAGCCATTCTATCCATCTTAATGAAGAATGTTTAAACACAGGAAATTTGTTTCTTACAAAAATCAGTCGGAGGACAGCAATAGGCTGACTTTTCAGAACTCACTCCGGGCTGCATTCCCAAGGCCCAGTTGGAGAGCTGTACTTGCGCCTCAGACTGGGGCTTCAGGCGGCCTCTGTTGGAAACTGAGTCAGAGACCTTCCTCCAGTCCCAGGAGGCAGCAGCTGTCACTTTCCTGCCACAGCCGTGGATGGGTCACGGGGGAGGAAAGCTAATATTTCAGTATTTGTGGACATCAGCATCAAATGCCAAAGCCTTCCACTCCATCGCTGCTTCCCAGTCTCATATGCGCACATCAGATTGGATGAACCTAATTTCCATTTAGAATACAACTGATCGGGAGCCTGAGAAATGCAGCTGACCAAGCTCTGATGTACAGGAGGGCCCATCAAAAGGGATTATGTCCAATCAAAACAGCCACTGCACACTCATCCTTTGTCTCTCTCTTGTATGTGTGTGCATTCCATTCAGCATATTTTAACCCTTTACCCTTGACCATGTAAACTCAACTGTTTTAGGCTGGGATTGTTTTCTAATTAGGCAAAGTCAGATATACTTGTACACAACCACGAGGGAAAGCAGTCTTTGGGCAAACAGAAGATGAAGAGCCTCAAGAAGCTGGCTCGGGGCCTCCTGCATTGCGAGGACTTGCTTTGCTGCCCCCACACGTTCCATCTTATGACCTGACACTAAAACTATGGGCTCTTCACACAAATCTGCATGCCACCCTGGCACAGGGGCCATGCCAATCTTCTCTGAGTCCTTCCAATGTTTACATTTGTGCTGCCAAGGCAAGCACTTGAGCTGGGATTTTTTAAAAAAAATATATATATTTTTTTATTATTTATTTCAGAGAGGAATAAAGAGGGGGAGAGAAATAGAAACATCATTGATGAGGAAGAATCATTGATTGGCTGCCTACCGCATGCCCCACACCAGGCATCGAGCCCACAACCGAGCATGTGCCCTGATCAGGAATCAAACCATGACTTCCTGGTTGATAGGTCAATGCTCAACTACTGAGCCACACCAGCCAGGTTGAGCTGGGATTTTGAGGCTGACCATATAGCATGTGAGAACATCAGCCTGCTTGCAATGGACTCATTGGGTCTTCCTCAGTTTCAAAGTCATAGGGGTTAGAAACTTTAATTTGGGGACTGGGCATTAGCAGTCACGGCACGCTGCTGTTTTTCTTACCAAATCTGCAAGTTTCTTGAATTCTTTCCCAGGTTACATAATGGCCACATTTCAAAGGATCTTATATCCGTTTCTCTTGCTTCATAAAATTCCTATTGGAGTCACCATTTCTGCATTGGAAACATTTTCATCTATCAAGGCCCTTTTCTCTTGCTCATTCCACATCTTTTTTTTTTTTTTCTTTTTCTTTTTTTTTTTTCCCATTCCCTCTCTCTCTAAATCCAAGGCAAACAACAAGAGAGCAATCCAGGACAAACTCAGAAACCACGCGTTCATTTCACTAATAAGTTATAGTGCTTTCAGACACACATTTATCTCATAGTCCACCCTCCCACAGAGTCCGGAGTTTAATGGCGAGTTTAGGATGCAAGGGCACCTTAATGGAAAATGGAAAACTACGTGGGGAGATTAGAACAAGCTTCCTCCGTGTTGCGTTACTCTGCACCACCTGCTTCCTCTGGACCTCGCTGTCCTCATTTCTGTTTTGAGATTTTGTTCCTGAACTTAAAAATCTGGTGATCTAATACGGCAGTCAGGGCAAAGAAATACAGCCATAAATAGTCTAATAAAATCCTTTAAACTTGAATCCCCCAGTCATAAAGGTGTCTGCAGCTCTATCTTGCAGTCCTACTTACCAACATACTTAACTCTGTTACGTGTGTATTTTTCTCTTCATGTGTGGCCTTCGTGACCCCTTAGGCTTCTCTCACACAGCTTCCCACTTCTGTAAACATGTAGGGAGCTGGTTTTCTCTGATGGGCTCTGACTCTACCTCTCTCTGATTCATGCAGCAAACCCTTGTCAAAAAGAATCTTGACTAATAATTGCTCGCAAATGCCACTCTGCCTCACACCTTCATGCTGAATATTTTTAGTAGTTTGGTATTCGTTATTGAATCAAAGCATGAAGTCATAGGCCTGGGTGGCTAAGTGGTTGAGTGTCGACCAATGAACCAGAAGGTCATGGTTAGATTCCTGGTCAGGGAACATGCCTGCATTGGGGGTTAGATCTCCAGCAGGAGGCAGCCGATCAATGATTCTCTCTCATTGTTGATGTTTCTATAATATTTCTCTTTCCCTCTCCCTTCTTCTCTGAAATACATAAAAAATATATTTAAACAAACAACTCCTCCCCTCAAAACAAACAAATGAATACCTTGAAGTCATAAAAGGGATATATTAAAATTCTTTATCCTGATTTTGCACATGAAGGAAAAAAGTTCAGAGTAAGGGATTTCCCCATCCACTTAAACATTTATTCAGCATTCACCTAACACTGATGCAGTACCCAGACTGATCAGCAAACAAGCACACTTCCATTTTGATCTCCTCAATGCCTGGCAGTGTACCCGACTCCTACAATGCATGCAAACGTCACGGATCAGATGGGTAAATGGGTGTGCCAGTGGCTGAGTGACCGAATGAAGGCATCTGAAATATACTGAGCATCAAAAATTGCAGTGGTCTTCCACTGTCACTCAGCCCTGGTGGCTCCACCCAAATTTCAAAATTGAAGACCCAACAGTTTGTGAACTTGCTTGGGAAGGTCTTCTAGATTTCTGATTTCAAACCTGCTTTTCCATAGAACACTGCCTTTACATATTCCTCGTTGGTTTAAAGAATTTAACAGAACAGAAGAGGACTGTCTGCCAAGGTAACCTTTACTGCAACTGCTGCCCACCACAAATCCTGTGTTGGCCTGCAAAGAGATATATGGCCAGCTATGTTACTTGTATTCATTTACACAATACATATTTATAGGGCATATATTCGTGGGTAGATGATTCCCAACCTGTGGGGTCAAGGGCTCTTAGTTTTTCATGTTGGCCTTCCTGGTTTTAAACACGGATTTTGCAATTTATTGCCCATGAAACCTTAGTGGGTTATTCAACCACTCTGTTTCCTAATTGGTAAAATGTGGATAACTCTAGAATCTATCTCATAGGATCTTCGTGAAAATAAAATGAGTAAATAGTTGTGAAGTGGTTAAATAGTGTATTTATTGATAAGAACAACACTGATGAGGATCTTCATGACCATAGTATCATGTATACTTCAAGAGATTTAGAGATTTCTTAAGAGATAGTCCCTATCTTCATGACATTTTAACCTGTTACATCATTATAGGGTGTCCAATGTATGATCTAACCTTCGATATGTATATTCTATCTTATTAATAAGATTACAGCCCTGGCCAGTTTGGCTCAGTGAATAGAGCATCAGCCTGTGGACTCAAGGAATCAGGTTTTATTCCGGTCAAGGGCATGTACTTTGGTTGCAGGCACATCCCCAGTAGGGGGTGTGCAGGAGGCAGATGATTGATGTTTCTCTCTCACCAATGTTTCTGGCTCTCTATCCCTCTCCTTTTCTCTCTGTAAAAAATCAATAAAATATATATATTTTTTAAATTACATTCTTCAAAAAGATAGACACTGTTATAACTAAAAATAGATACATTTATTTATAAACATGTATATTACTATTTATGTATTGTATTCTTATCTACATGACGTACTTACATATTTGGTAAAAAATATAAATGAGCTGTACACTGGATTTCGATTAATTTGACTGCTTTATTTCTTTGAAGGTTATTTTTATTTATCCTTGAAGTGAATCTTATTTTCACCTCTGAGTATCACCATGTAATTCTGAGACTAATGCTCTCAATATCAGAAAAAAAAAACAAAAAAAAACAAAAAAACAGCCGAAACCAGTTTGGCTCAGTGGATAAAGCATCCGCCTGCGGACTGAAAGGTCCTGGTTTCGATTCCGGTCAAGGGCATGTACCTTGGTTGCAGGCACATCCCCAGTAGGGGGCGTGCAAGAGGCAGCTGATTGATGACTCATCGATGTTTCTAACTCTCTACTCTATATCTCTCTCCCTTCCTCTCTGTAAAAAAACACAATAAAATATATTTAAGCACACACACACACACACACACACACACAAAAAAAAACACAAAAAAACAAAAAAACACTCAAAACTGCAGTTCCCAACTTCAGTCTTTGGTTTCTTGGAAACACTCGTTTCTTCAAACAAGCTGCTCTGTCAGGATTCCTGCCTTTGGAATTAATCATTAGATCTTCTCAAGTGGATTTTTGTGTGTTTTGTCTTAAAAAAAAACATTTTAAAATATATTTTTATTGATTTCAGAGAGGAAGGGAGAGGGAGAAAGAAACATCAATGATGAGAGACAATCATTAATCAGCCCCACCCATAGTGGGGATCGAACCCACACTCCGGATCGTAGGCCGATGCTCAACCACTGAGCAACCCGGGCTGGGCTCAGGTAGATGTTTTATTACTCGTTGTGCTTAAACAGTTCCCGGTGAATTTTCTGGAGATTCCTTGCGGAGGGTTTCCTCACTGGAGCTCTTGGCACTCTAATTATCTAATTTCTTCCTAGCATCTTGTCAACAGAGTTAACAACCTCCCTAGTTTTCCAAGAGCTATATGCTTTAGGGGTATAACTACAATTACATATTGACATAGCATGCATCTTCATCATATTTCTATAAGTACATTCTCCTACTTTATCAGACTCAGAAAACAGTAATTTATCCTTTTTGGATCAAAGGCAGTGACATAATCATTATCATAATTCTGCCACAATTTGGGCCTAAGTATGGGTAGCAATATTTAATAACTCTTCTGGCCCAGTTATAATACTGAAGTTACAAACACAGATTGGCAAAAGAGATAATATTAAGTCTAACACGGTAATGGTATGGCAATGGGCATTGACGGCTGTGCCAAATGGCAGACTGGATTTTAAGAGCCTCTTAACAGCCTTAAAGTTCTTAGTTATTTGCCCATCTGAGTTATTTCTAGATTTTATTATCAAGACATAGGATTTAAATGTCTCTACTAACTCATCAATGGATCAACAACAACTATGTATTAAAATAGCACCTTTCTTAGAGGAAATTTATATTAAATTTAAACTCTAGTCTTTAAATGTCTCTGAAAATTAAATGAATACAATCAAGATACATGTAAAATGGGGAGTCTGATGCCACATCCTACATTTCATGTAAAAGATTCTATGTGGTTTGGATAGATGGGGACGTGAAGTATGACCTTGTCAAATGCCGAAGCACCTGGAAGAGAGCCTTTCCCCAGAGTCAGTGCTCCAGGAACATGTGTGAGAGCTATATGGATTCTGTTACTTAATATGCACTCCTTCCCTGATCCATACCATCAACATACATGTGACTTATGTGGATGTCCTGTATATATTACGACCCTAGAACTGATTTACTGCTTATAATTCAGATTCTTTATTAAACATATTCTTTTATTTCACAAAATTATGTTATAAGCATATTCTTGTAAGTATTTGATACTTTGAAACATATTTACTGAGCATCTTCTATGGGTCAGGTACTGTACATACTTCTACAAGTCTTTGCCCTTCAGTAGCTTATGATCTATCTAGTGATGCATACAAGCAATAACAACACAGACTGATGGTGTTAGGATAGACTCATTCCATGGTAGGGTGGCAGTATATGGGTAGGCCAATAAAATTTGGGAGGGGAAGAATGTAATGACTTTTTGAAGGAAAGGACAAAACAAAACAAAAGCTAAGATGGGATA